GGGTACTACAGTTTCTATAATAATGCATTTTATGCATTTTTCTTTCCTTTTTAAAAGTTTTGTCAATAATTACACGTCTATGTATTTTATTGTTGTGCTTTCTGGCCCAAAGGCTATCATAAAGGTTTGATTTGATTCATGATGTATATGTGTGTGTTTGTGTGTGTGTGTGTGTGTGTGTGTGTTTCACGCAAATTCATTTAGCCTTCTAGCGGTTGTGGTACAAGAATGTTTAAGAAGTTTCAAGTTAGGTTTCTGGCATAGCATGATGTGTGAACCCAGCAAATTGAGCTTAACTATGGCCAAACATAACATGTGGATCCGACTGTGAATCAAAATAACTCGCCCTGTTTAAAGTAGAATCACTTTCTTTATGCAACTTTTATAAAAATGTAAGGTTTGTGGCACTTGCTAAAGAAAATATGCTTGCAGACTTTGCAGTGGTGACTGATGCTGTTTTCCACAAATGTAAATAAAGATATGATGGAAACAATAGCTAGGTTTGTTTTCAGCCACGAAAGCCCTGTAAACAGTGTGCTGCGGGCTAAGTTGATTACTACAGTTGTTTGTATGCTCTGCTGTCTGAATATGTTTTGTATTTTTCCTTTCTTTTGTGACACTTTGTTGTGGAAATTCCTATGGCCAGAGACCCCAATAAAACTCCTTTTGTCATCATTCCGTCTAGAAAGCATCTCGGTTTTGGCCAGTCCTTATTTCTCAGCTGTGCCCATCTTGCTGGACTCCTGTGGTAAGAATGGGAAACTCAGCACTGGAGGAGTGTCTTGTGGCTTCCAGAGGAATGCTTAAAATACAAGCATATTGTCAGCCCCAATCTTTTTCTACCTGTTGCTCAGAGATATTCTCTGTAAGAGCCCACATGTGGCCCTGGAAGGAAATGTACTTAGCATGTATTGAAGGAAATAGTGGTTTCACAGCTGAGTTTCCTGGAAGTGTAGTATTGAAACTTTCCCAGTGATGGAAAATGCTGTATGGATTTATTCAGGTGATGGAAACTTACATTCTTTCCTGCCTTTCAAATAAGCTCTGCTTTTGGTGAACATTAAGTTCATTAGGAACCAGGAGTGAAGACAAATATGGTGAGCACGTTTGTGCTGCTTCTCCTCTTGACGTTCATCCTGAAAAGTGGTTGTTTGGGACTTATTTTGGTTAGTGGGCTGAAATAACTTTTTTTATTCAGATCAGATTGGTGATATCATCGATCTGGGGCTGCAGGCATTTTTCTCTCTCTCTCTGTGTGTGTGTGTGTCTAAAATATGGTTTGGTTTTCATGGTAGGCGTTGTGACTCTTGGTTGTTTTCTCCCAGTGGTTTGGTTTTAAATGCAAGTTAAGATTTTATTTTTTTCATTTTATGTTTTAAAAAATAGAAGTGGAGAAGAAAGGACCGTGTGACCGGAAAGTTTTGGATTTCGCGTCATTGAATCTTTATAGAGTATGGAGAATGTGATCCCTTCCTCCTCCTATCATGACAAGTTGAGGCTGGGGCAGGAAGCACAGGAGTGGGGACAGGTCCAAGCCTGCCGATCGGAGTGTACTGGAATTTTCAGCTTGTTCCTGTTCTGGATGAATTGGGCTTGTCTGGAGAATCTCAAGGACGTGGGATATCTTTCCGGGCTAAATGTTTTCAAAAAGGTCTGCAAGGCTAGCCAGTGAAGACACTGTTTGGAGCTGAGGGTCAGCCCTCTTCTGAAGTCTCACTGCCCAGAGAAAGTGGTATGTCCAAGAGAAGAAAGTGTACTCGGTGTCGCTAATGTCCAAGAAAAATGCTTGGCCAATTGACTTAGTTATTGTAAGATCAGCAGGGAAGGGAAATTCCTGGAGAGAAGGTGTGGTCCTAGGTATAACTCTCCCCAGTGATATCTGCCCGTCCCACATGCTTCAGGACCTTTCTGTGAAACTCTACCATCTAATGGGACCCAGGATGCAAGCTTCTTCTGCGTGGCACCTGCCCTCTGGAACTCTCTCCCCGCCTGAGATATGGCTGGCTCCAACCCAGTTGGCCTTCGGAAAGGCTGTGGAACTTGGCTTTTTCCTCAGGCCTTGGGCCCGGGGTTGATTGGAGTTCCCATCTGGAGAGGGGGATGAAAATGCATTCCTGCTCATCTATTAATGTTTTGGATTTTAACTGGGATTTTTAGCTTGTTCTGTTTTTTGCGTCTACGCCGGCTGGAATTGCAGTGTTTGAGTTGGGTGGCCATATAAATTGTTTGAATGAATGAATGAACTCCACCAATGGGCTGATGAAAAGGATCATGCCCTTTGAATTAAAAACAGGATGTTTGCTCATTTTTTACCTCACTTGATGTGTAAAAATATTGTCCTGATGGTTATCTGCACTTAGGTTTGGAGGAAGATGAGAGTAGATTCCTTGGATCAATTTGGATGAACCTTTTATCCTGTTAGTAGAATATTTGGCTTCCTCGAGTGGCACACGATGTGCCTTCCATCTTTTTGCCTCAATATTTCATTTATTCCTGAGATTCTTGTCATTCAGTAAGAGGGGCTTGGTGTCAGCGTTGCTCTTGAAGGAAAGACTTTCTTGTGGCTAAGCGTGTCCTCCTCGAGGTTTCTTTTGTGCTAACCTGCATGTAAATACAGCATGCGCTCTTTTTTTCCCTACCCATTTGGGCAATGTATATTTTTCCCTAATTCGCTCTTCCCTTGTTTATCTTTGCACTTAAGCCTGGGGTCTAATTTGGACTTTTTGCAGCTGATGAGCAGTTTAGAGGGGTAGGGCAGCAATTTTGAGGTAGATTTTGATTAACGCTTGCAAGAAAATCTCCTTAGCAAATTGCCATGTTAATCAAAGTTAATTAGGTTGTGGAAGACTTGTCCCTCCTCTCCCATACCAAGGAAGTGGATTTTTATTTTTAAACAAGATAATTTGGGGGATTGTATGAAGGAAGGTCCCGGGTTCAGCTGGATTACCTTATGATGGGACAGCCAGAGGCTCCACATGGACAAGGGGATGACGTATTTAAAGTGAGCAGATACAGCTTCTCATTCCTTCCCCAAGGCTTGTTGGCTGCTGGTGGGTGGGGATATGTTTTTAGTTGTTTTCCACCAAAAAACCTGCAAGAAACCATGGCTTGGTTTCTCACAGTGTGCCATTAAACCTAGCCCTGAGATATTTGAGGGGCCACAAAAGCTGAGTTCAGAGCTCTCATGCAGGCTATACGTTATTTATCCTTGCTTTTGATGACGGTCCCTTGTTGATGCAGGCAGAAGATTTCAACTGATGCATTCAGGCAACCCTTCCAAACTATTTGTGTCAAAAAAAACCCCCATGCTTCCAAGCTTTGGGGGAGAGAAAATTAACCCAAACGTGTGATTGTGGATGGTCATTCTTTGTATGGAGTCCTATAGCTTTCATATATACATATATATTGGGGCAGGTTAAAGAGGTCCCCTGGTTAGCAACATCTTCATTGATCAACTAAAGCAAATTAAGTGCATAGGTCAGTGAAACTGATACATCTGCATTTGAGCAAAACTTTAGTGCAGTGTTGTCCAAACTTGGCCACTTAAGATGAGTGGACTTCAACTCCCAGAATTCCCCAGCCA